ACAGCGGCGGCGGCGTGCATCGCGTGTCGACTCGCGCGATCGGCCCGTGAGACACGATCGTCGTGAGAGCTCGCGGAGGGAAATTCGGATGCTCCCTCCCCTCCCACTTAAGGGAGGATCTCGGAGACGATTCACTCTCGGGCGACCGGGTGCGAAAGCCGCGCCCCGCCTCTATAAGCTAATTTTACGTTGAATAAAAACGCGTAATATCTCTGAAAGGGAAATCCATTTAACGTTCGCTCCGGCTTCTCAAGATAAATTGCTTTTCGTGGGGGGGGGGGGGATGCCTTTCTAAAGCGACATTGCCCCAAGTTCGGGAGGGTGGGGGGTTGACAGGGTCCCTTTGCGAAAGACCCGAGACCTCCCTCGAGAAATCCCCCCTGTTTTGGCTTCGTTGGCTGGTGGACGCAGAGCGTAACTGTCAACTATGACCCAACAATGAGAGCTGGGCGCGGGCGCGCGTATACGCAGCCGAAAATCCACAGGGGGCGAATATCTCAACGTAGACCTCAATATGTGTCCGGGAACCGTTCTCCGCGTCTCTATGCGTCTCGGCGGTATTGAGTATCCGCGCTCCCCCGGAAAACTTGGTCTTGCCAAACATCGTACACAACACCGCCCCCGTCGCGTCTAGGAGACATTCGCCAGATTTAGTGAGGCGGCAGCATCCCGGTGCTTCCTTTATCGGATTTCTTTATCGAACTCTTCGAGGTATAGGCGACACCCGTAGCCAGGTATCTCTCCCGCTATGAAAGGGAAAGACTTACGAAATTACTCCGCCTGCAGTGTTTTTTGTTATTGCGCGGGAATGCAGTAACAAAGGTGAAATACGATGGCAATACTGCACTGACAGAAAAAAATGGTTCCAGTTACCACAATCTCACTACAATTTATAGTCATTTTGGGAGCCACCACATTTTTATAATTCTTCCAACTACGTAAACTATGGTTGACCGCACAATGTATCACAGTTCTCATAAACACAATATTGGTCCATGCAACTTATGATATGGTTGTCATAAACAAAACGAGCTTTTAATTTGTTAATTTGTTACTATAAATATTGCGATAACCACAAGTAATATTCCTCGGTTTTTATTATATGAGAATTGCGTTCACTACACTGAAAAAAATTTCTGGTTGAATATGGACGAATCAGATAATTCCTTTAGGATTTACCAGAATTTCTGTAGGATTACAGGGATTACCAGCGAACATACACTGAAAAAAATTTCTGGTTGAATATGGACGAATCAGATAATTCCTTTAGGATTTACCAGAATTCCTTTAGGATTTACCAGAATTTCTGTAGGATTACAGGATGGTTACATCACTTTGCACTCGTAAAGAATAGTATCAAGAAAGCCTTTTTCAAAGAATAGTTAGAAGCTGATATTTTATAGTAAATTTTTAAAATAGTTGGCACCACTGTGTCCATATAGTTGCTATTGCTAATATTATAGTTACTATAAAAATGATATTTCTACATATTTTTCTATCAGTGTGCTCTATTCTATTTATAATTTATCTCGTGACAATAGCGAGATTGGAGTATGACAGTTATGAATGCGATAAATTGAAAGGCAAATAGTTTTCGCATAAATGCGTTATCGTTCGGGGGCTCCGCTTATCACTCCCGATTGTTAAAGAAATTACCTCGGCGTTTGTAAATCACTCTAGCGCGTTCCGATAAATCACGTCGGCGAAACGGTCTATTATTTATTAGGCTGCAGCTTTCTGATAAATCGCGGTGGCAAAACAGTCTATTATCCGTCGCAGCGGCTCTCACAACGCGCCATTAGTGGCCTTCAAAAGGACTCGACGCGCGTCAGACCGTCATCGGGCAGTTTGTCGCACGACAATCGCACCGGTAATTTTGCAAAATTAGATCCCGCCTAGAAACCGCCGCGAGAAACCACAGACTCGCGAAAGGGAATTCGCGCAGCCTCGAATCGCCATTTCTCTTTTGACCTTTAAACTCCCGTCGAGCCATCCCCCCCCCATCCCCTCCTCCCTCATTCTTACCCTTTCGATCCGATTACCGGACGAGATTGCAACGGACCACCTGGCTCGTACGGGGAATTACATTCGCCGTCCGGTCGAGAGTGGCGTCTAGACTCTACGTCTGAAGCCTCGCGAAATGGTAATCGGAACCTGTCCCGGACCGATCGTCGCCGTTCCTTTGCGACCGGCCAACGTCGAGACGTCGAGGGCGCCGGGGAGAGATCGCCGATCCGAGACCTTCCCCGGGTCGTTTCCTCATCCACTCGGCGAGAGAAGAGCCCGAGAGTCCTGAGTTTCTCTCGCAGCCCGTCGCGGATATCGGCCGCTGCGAGGATATTACCGTCGCCCGGAAGGAAACCGGCGACGCGTGTGCCCGCGAGGAGGCATATCCGCCGTGACGTCTGTGCGCGAGCGAGGGGAAGGTCGCGGAGGAATCGACGTCGGATCGCGATGTGATACGGAATTCGTTTGACATCGAGAGCGTCGGGACGTGCGTTTAGCACGGGTGAATCCAAGAGGGACCATTGCCGCTGGCGTGCGCGAGCTGTGCCCTCGTCAATACGTGCGGGGCTCGGCTCTTTGACGCGTTCGGAACTGATTTTTACGTGGAGGACGGTTACGGGACTCCCGTTCAATTTCTTTTTCTTCGTGTCCCACTCCAAGTAAAGCCAACGGCACGCGATACTATTTTTTTTTCTACTGCCACCCACAGAAAAAATTTCCAGATCCGGACAAAATGCAAGAAATACAGAAAGATAACATCAAAATGTCACAACTCTAGCTATTACACTTGAATGTATATCATAAAATAGGTATTTATTATAAAGAAAGGAATATTTTTATCTTAAATGAAAAATTGTAAAATCTAGAATAAAATGAATACGGTCTTTTGTCGAATATCGCGGTGCCAACTTCGTGCGTTGTAAGATGGAGGGAAAATTTATTCCAAACGCGGGAATATATAAAGTTACTCTTGTCTCAATGTAGTAAGTCAATCTTTTTTAACTCGATAGACGAGAATAAGAGTTATTGATTTTATTTTGATATCGTCCTATTTTTATACTAACTGAGGTTGAGAAATATAAAAGCGTCGACAATATTTTTTGTCTCAATAACCGAAATCCTTTCTGAGGGTGCGGATTTCCTGCGAAAGGCTGGAGACTTTTAGACGAGATGATTTAAGGCTAAGCCTTGATTGGCCCTCGTAGGCAATCCAGTAGGAAAAACGGTATCGCGTGCCGTTGACTTGAGTCTCGACTGACAATGAAGTCGAAATAAAACGGCACGTGAGGCCCCGCCGTTCGTTTTTATAATCGGATCCCGTCTTATCGTATAATTATCTACTCCTTGTGAAAAAAAACAAATTCCGCGACACGTGCGTTACAAAACTTGCAGTTGCAGGAAATCTGGCGGTGCAAACGTAATATTCGGGCTTCTCGCATATTGCGTACGGGTTTACGGGCGCAATAAACATGCCAGTCCCCGGCCCTCTCTTTTTCTCTCGACACGCACAAACGACATCTCCCGCACGCCTAATTTTTCGCGCGCGCGTCTGCCACGAACGTCCATACCGTGGGCGCAACGTGACGTTCGCGAAAGCGCATAAAATTCGGTGGCAGACAGTTATGCGGCGTCCCCCGTCTCTTTCTCCCTCTTGCTTTCTTTCTTTCTTTCTTTCCGCGCGCTGACGCTTGGACGGCTCCATTTTACATCGGCGTCACTCTCGAACGCGATAACGAACGGAACGGGGCGAGCAGTCGGGCAGAAAAAACGAAGGCCGGCGGTATTTTTAGTCCGGGATCCCGCGACAAAAAGCCACTCGCGGCGTTTAAGCGGCTTCGTATCTCGCAGGTGTTCCGGATGGCGACGGGGACGACACGGTGTCGCTTGTTAAAATCGCCTCCCCCGGCGTTGCAGTTTTGAATCGTGCATTTTTGCGGACGTCTTTATCCGCCGCGCCGCTCGCAAGAGCACATCGACACGGTGGGACGTATCGTTCGCCAAGAGCGATACGCGAATTGGAAAGTTTTATCGCGCCGACCCGGGATCGTCGAACCCGCCCGCCTCGTGTCCTCGAGCCCCGATCTCGATACGAGGAGGTAGGTAGGTCTTCCTCGGAACCGGTCGTGACCGTACCTACGCGAGACGTCGTTAATACCGCGCGAGAGCGAATCCACCTACGAGCGGAGGAGACGACCGCGTCGTAACCAGCCCGAAAAGAAAGCAGCAAATCGCTCAGCTTGGGGAGGAGACGAGGGAGAAAGAGGTGGAATCGTTAAAATCGTTAGAATCGTTATTTATCGAACGCTCCTGAGACCTTAAAGCGCAACGACAGTGCAACGGATTTCGACAATTTATCTTAACTGCCGTACAAAGAATCAAACTGGCATAATATAGCATAGTGAGAAAAAAACAAAAAATTAAAATGGAAGCACGTAAGTTTAACGGAGAACAATAACTACAAAAATATAGAAAATACTTTGAGAAAGATCGAGAGAGGGAGAGAGAGAGAGAGAGAAGAGAGCGGAGAATCGTGGACCGATAACAAATGGTCGTGAATCCCGCGGAGCAGGAAGGGGTCAGCGGGGAGAAAGAGGAAGGGGGAGGGGATTCTGCCGGCCGTCTCTCGTTATCCACGCCACACGGCGTCCGTGTGACGTCATGGCGCGCGTGTGGTGTGTGGCCACGGCAGATACATCAGGGGGGCTCGACGCGCATCGCATCGCGCGTTCCGCATCGTGTGCACGCACACGTGCACACACACACATACGCAGGTGCGCGGCGCGCCGAGGTGCAACTCCTCGCGAGCGCGCGCGCGCACACGTATACGCGCGCGTGCGAGCGTGCGTGCGTGCATGGTTAAACGGAGTCGAAGTCGAGTCGACTCGAGTCGAGTCGCGGCGGCCGTGGAAGCGTCCGAGGGACGAGAGATGCACGACGCCGCGCGGTTCGCCGGCGTGTACCAGCGGAGCGGGCGCTGGTAGGGGAAACCGAGGGGCCGGTAGCCGGCGCGGCCGAGAGGCGGCGGAAACGCACGAGGCTCCGACCGTCGGCTCCGTCGCTTCCCCCACCGCGTCGGCCGCGCGCGCGCGCTCTCTCTCTCTCTCTCTCTCTTTCGTGTCTCCTCGCTCGCGTTCGCGACGAACTTCGCGTCCTCCCCGGAGCCAGTGTGTCCGTGTCCGTTGCCGTGGTGGGATCGCGGCGCGTCTCCCTCCGCGCTGCGCGCTCCTCTTTCTTTCGTCGCTCTCTCGTCATTCCGTGCAGCGAGCGAGCGAGCGAGCGAGCGTGCGCCCGCCCGCCGTCGCGACGCCGGGCTCCAGCGTACAACGAAATATTTGGAGAAACCGCCCCGTTTGTGTGCCTGTGCGCGAGCCGCGAGTTTCGGAGTAAAACACCGGCGCAGCACGGCCGTGGTGTGTGCGCGCGCGAGCACAGCGACGTTCCCATGTGCGCGCGCGTACGTAACCGCCGCCGCCGCCTCATGTTTACGGATCTGATTTAGTGTTGTTCTCGATCGCCTCTGCTCGGCGGCGCGCGGCAAGTGACTGCCGGGGCCGAACGAACGAACGAACGACCGACCGACCGACCGGGCTCGGCTTCATCGTCGGGACTGTGAGCGCCGTTTTATACGCGCGGCGCGTCGGCATCGGGCGCGCGTTTTTATCAGGACACGAGGGACAATGGATTAATTCTCGCCGGGGCGAGACTGCGGGGCTACTAGGCGGACGCAGGCGACTGCGACCGGCTCGCGGTTGTAGGAGTTTGGAGTAAACGCAGCGGGAGTACGCGATAAATCAAGGTGAGAATCCCGGCTTTGTTTTCGAGGAGGGTTGCTCGGCCGCGGCTCTCTCTCTCTCTCTCTCTCTCATTGACCAGCGGGTCTCGGCCCGCCGAACCGAACCCCTCGCGTCCTCTTCCTCTCCGCGCTTCTTCCTCCGCTGCGTCCCGCTCTCGGACGAGACTTTCTCCTCCGCCCCTCTCGGCTCTTTTCCGCTTCTCTCTCCGTCGGCTCCCCCGGCGAATGCTGCAAACGAGCATTCAACGAGCGCGCGGCGTATATTCCACGGCCTCCTGTCCTCATCCTCCGCGCTGCTTCTCGTTCGCGCAAAGGCGGACCCGAGGGAGAGAGCAAGAAAGAGAGAGAGAGAGAGAGAACACGTCGTTTCTCCGGATTCGGTCCGGACGGATCTTGATTGCGAGTCCGCTCTCTACCAGCGAGGACGACGACGCCGCCGCCGTTGCCGTTCCGTCCTCTCCCCATGCAAATCCACACCGGCGGAAAGTCTCCGCGGCCGAGAGAGCCGCGCGCGGAGAATCCGCGCGTTGCGTTAAACGAGGGTCCTCCCGTCGAGTTCGATAACCTTCACTCGGCAGATTAATTGTGAAAAATTGAGCGATCCGCCGCTGTTTCGAACGCGATGTGAAAAATTGATGGTCGGCAAATGTTTCGCGCGCTCCGTACGAGATTGCGCTCCGGCCTGGCTGTCGGGGAGCAAAGTCGGAGAAACTAGACAGATTGCAACGAACAGCTGTCGTCGAAAGTCGACCGGGCAGTTTTCAGAGAGGAGTGCGTGAAATCGGAGATAATCCTCCCGACGGAAATACATACGCGCCGACGTCCATTTTCAACCGGCATAGATTGACTTCGATCTCGGTTCGACTTGCTCGTCATCTTTTTTTCAATGCTTGAAACAAGAAAACGTGAGACTGAAAGAAACCGTGAAAGTGATGGACGATGGAATTAGTAACAATTAGGACCGGTGAAGGATTTTGAGACGCCATGCGGATTTTGAAAGAATAATTTAATTGTCAGTAAACGTTTCAGCTATAGAGTCGTTTCGGTTCAAATTTCAAGAGAGATAAGAACGCGAAGGAGAAAATTTCCGGATCCAATGCTATTACACTTGAAGATATCATAAAATAGGATCGACGTAGCGCCAGTCGTGTTTATTCTAGAGAAAGGAATATTTTAATCTCAAATGAAAAATTGTAAAATCTAGAATAAAATGGATATCGTCTTTTGTCGAATATCGCGGCGCCAACTTCGTGCGTTGTACGACGGGGGGAAAATTTATTCTAAACGCAGGAATACAAGTTACTCTTGTTTCAATATAATAAGTCAATCGGTTTTTAATTCGCTAGAGGAGAATAAGAATTATTGATCTTATTTTGATATTGTCCTATTTTTATACTAAATGAGATTGCGAGAAGCGTAAATGCGTCGAGAATATCTTTTGGTGTACAGAAATCCTTTCAGGGGGTGTAGACTCAGGGGGCTCCCGCGATACGCGACACGTTTTTAACGAGGCCTGCACGGAAAAAACAATGTAGCTGCTGTAGCTAAAACTTAGCAAAATAGGGACAGCTAATATTTTAGTTGTGATAGCTCAATATTTTGCTACTGTGCCTATTGTATTAGGTGCGACAGCAAACGGTTTGCCGTCGTAGCAAAATATTGAGCTACCACAACTAAAACTATTAGCTGTCCCTATTTTGCTAAGTTTTAGCTACAGCAGCTACATTGTTCTTTCCGTGTGCGCTCGTACGCAACGGAGACATTTCGGGGCCGAAATGTCTTAATACGCTCTCGGAGTCGACTCGCATAAATTCGCAGACAGGATGCGCCGCGATTCGCGGCTAGACGCGTTATGATTTATCGGACGCGTACACACCGGGAGGGCTTAATGCAGTGCAATCATTGTTATCCCGCGGGACGGCGGATGCTTATTTGCTTAATATCCCGGCTGATTGTACGAATCTGCTGCGCTTTCTGCGCCTCGGAGTCCGCGTCGCGGAGGTTCATATCGGCGAAACGCGTACGTTGCGTACCGCGCGCGATCATAGACGAATGTTGCCTATTATGAGATAGACTTCTAACGCGAGATGGCAGGTTTTCAACGTCCAAATCGAGGGAGAAACCGCTGAGAGTATTGTGGTGTACAGATTTGCGGCATTACTGGGCATTTTTTGAGGCAAGATTTACCCGGAAAATCGTGTAATCGCGGTACAACGCGGCATTTTCAACAACTTTATGAGAGTTTTTCGAAAGTTTGCCGTACATTTCACCAGTAAATGTGCACTGAGTATAATTACTAGTGAAATATGTATGGTAAAATTTCAAAAAAAACTCTCATGCAATTCTTTGAAATGCCGTGTTGTGCCACGATTGCAATATTTCCAGAATAAATTTCGAAAGAAAGTTCTCTCGGTGTACAAACATGTTTTGCAGCAAACAATCTGCTAAAACGTCGAGTAGAAGCCCGGCGAGTTTCGTGTATTTTACCGCGTATGCCCACAGTAGAATTTTCATTATCGCAAGCAATTGTATGATTGATTAAACAGCACGTGTTGCGCGATAGGACTGGAAACAGAAATTATTTGTTGTCGCGCTCGTTTCTACTCCATTATTTACTTCAAGGTCCATCATTCAAAATTAGATGACACTTGGTACATACGTTCCAAAGAGACTCAATAGCGCCGCTAATACACTGACTTCACCATCGGCCGCTGAAAAGCCATTGAAAAGTCAGACACCAGTAACGGACGACCGCTGCGACGGGCAACGTGTTAATCGTGTGTTTTCCTCTAAACAACTCGCCAGCTTAGTCAGCGTACCGCTTCTTCCTCGAGAGGCGCATGCTAGTTTCGAGAGACACATTGCCTCGTTAAGTGGAAACACGCGCACGTTCGTGCTGGATTTCCGAAAGGAGGCTGCGGTGTCGCTCATGGTGTAAAGCCTATCACACAATGCCAGGCAACAGGCAATAGGAATAGAGAATAGAATTTTTGACGCGTTGGATTCGTCAGATATTTTCTACCAACCAATCCAACGCGTCAGAAATTCTATTCCCTGTTCCTGTCGCCTGTTGCCTGGCATTGTGTGATAGGCTTAAGGATACAAGGTGAAACATTGCGCGCGTAACCAATTTTTGGGGGAAATTGTTCATTTTGGTTCTTCCTGCAACGATGTGCAGTTTGAAGGTCGATGCAAATTTCTGATCGGTCAGTTCGGTAGTTCGGGCCACTTCTGATTGGTTGACACTGCGCATCTGATGGATGCGCAGTGCCAACCAATCGGGGAAACCGGAGCGCTCGTTTCATTGTTTCACCTTGTATCTTTACACCATGGTGTCGCTCGTACCGTGTCATTGCCGTGTCACGGTATGTACACGCGTGCGGATGGAACGCCATGCCAAAGTGTAGGATTCACTACCGTTGCGACGATACGCGAAGTCGCGCGAGCGCGTCGTCGGTTGAGCTTGTTTCTACAACGGACGCAAAACGCAAGACGCTAAGCCGCAACGCAAGAAATCGGCCAGTGGCGGTCGGTCATTCTTCTCACATTTGACTGTGATCGATCGATTTCAGCGTCCTGCGTTTTGCGTCCGTTGTAGAATAAGCTCTCGGGCTCGGCGATCGCGTTTGTTTCGGGGCGTGTCCGCGCGAGGGGATCCGCGCGAAAGCGCGCACGCTGCGGACGCGAGCGTGAACCGCGAGGGAAAAAGTCGGACTCTCTCGCGCGAGCGACGGAGCGCTCGTTTCATTCTCGGGCGCTCGCCCACGCCCCGCGGGACGCGATCCGCGGGTAGGAAGGAAGCGCCGCGAAGCCGCATCCGCAAGGTTTATCTGTCGGGCTTTTTTACGATTATCGCGCGCGCGTAGCTTCCGGCGCGGCGCTCTCGTTAAATTTGCGCCGCGTACACACGCACGTGCGCACGCGAGCGGGCGGGGCGGGCGCTATTTACGAGCGGCGCCCGCCCCGCGTATTTTTCGCGCGCGAATAGATGTTCCCGAGGGGGAAACCGCTGACCAAAATCTTGTACACCGATGTCCACTAATGCCCAGTGGGCATTACTTTATTTTATTATCTTGTTCTATCTTATTTTAACCTACTTTATCTTAGTTTATCTTAATAATGTCCCAGCAAAGCGTAATGCCCCAAAAATGCCGCAAATCTGTACGTCACAATGGCCCCAGCGGTTTCCCCCTCGGATGTTCCCGAGAGGAAAACTGCTTACCAAAATCTTGTACACCAATGCCCACTAATGCCCAGTGGGCATTACTTTATCTTCTTATCTTATCTTTATAATGCCCCAGCAAGGCCTAATGCCCAAACCAATGCCCAAAAAGCCTAGTAATGCCACAAATCTGTACACCACGATGCCCTCAGCGGTTTCTCCCTCGGATCTTCCGCTCCGCGCGGCTCGGATTTGGCGCGCGATACCGGCCCGGGCGCTTTATCGCGCCTTAATTTTCCCAGCGCGGACGAATCGGGTATTTACAAGCGGCGATAAGGACGACGCCGGGCGCCGCTTTGTAAGTTCGCCGTAGGGAGCCGAAAAGGTGCCGCCGACTCGCCGCGGCGTCGTAACGCCTAATTACGCCCGCCGCGGACACATCGTACATATTTGCATCGCAAATCTTCCGCCGGGTAGCCGTCGACGTTGCTAGTTTCGTTTACCCTAGCCTCCCGCACGAATACACCGCGGCGGAGAGATCGAGACCGATATGAATATCGAAGGAACGTATTGTGTATATGCGCATACGATAAATATCAATGTCCCCTAATATTGACGCTTATCAAACCGGCCTCTTAAATTACCGGCCTTTGGAGAGAGAATTCGAAGACGAGGAAGAACATGGTAATAATAATAGTAGATTCGAAGATACTCGAAGAGGATTGCGATGTATCAATAATTTATATCTCGCTTGAGAGAAAGCAGATCGTTGTTCTTTTATGTCGTGTATCGTAGCATACACTCGATATTAAGATCCCGCCTTCTTTCCTCCTCTCTTCCT